GAGACGCAGGTCACAACGAAAGATTAGTCAAGGAGAAACCTTGAATTAGTAACGCAAAGCAGCGCAATCGACTGTAGTTTGCGAAATATTACAGAAACCACCCTTTTGAGTTCCAGGAGTGTGATTTTCTCTAAAAGTAAATCCAAGATGTTTAGATCAAACTGAAACCACTACGGGTGGAGAAAATTTAATGCAGCCTTAGAAGATAAAAATGATGCGTGAAAATATAAAGTACGGCAGAAACTCCGTATGAGGCTACATGTTAGTGTCAGATGTCGGGAATCTCAATTTTATTGATTCTACAGTTGACAAATTTGAATATTTATCAATTTAAAAAAGTAATGACAAACAAAGGGCTGCGAATGTAAAAATGAGGCTGACATATTAATTTCAGCTGGACAACGCGACCATCCACTCCGCGCATTTTGTGGTATTATGATTGCTATATAATGTTCTAAAGCTCCTTGAAACGCCTCCACAATCATCCGATCTCAGTCTTTTGATAAATTCAGGTGGGTACTAGAAAAAAGTGTGCGAGAGCATAAAGTTTAAAATAAACAAGGACTCACGAGGGTTCTCCCTGAAGAATGGGAGAAAATCGCTCCTGAACTTACAAGGAAGCTTGTGAGATCAATGCCAGCAAGACTGGATGCTGTTATTCATGCTAAAGGTCGTTTCACAAAATATTGACTCACTATTTTTCGTTTTTCTCCAAGGCAAATTGCCAGTGAACGTTCATTTTTTAGGTGACTTCCATAAGCATAAGGAAAAGTTTTGATTATTATTTATTCACTAATTTCAAGATTTATTTGACTTTTATACGATAAGAGTGTTTGCATTAATACCTGTTTTTCTTTTGTACCTCAAAATTCTGCAATACAAATTTTTCTTTGCCAGTTTGTATTTTCGTACATAGTGAACGGTCAATTTTGATAGCCACTGCAGTTAACACAATAAGGTACTACAATGTAAACCATCACATCATATTATAAAGTATTACTCTGTAATTATCCTATGTATGTATATTCATACTATGTGAGTATGAACTGTGAAATTATCCATCCATTAATAATGAGTTAAAGTATAATAAAATCATATTTTACTCTCTTAAACCACACATTCCTATTATTCAGATGTGCTTTTAGTGCACTATGCTGTCTGTATCGCGCATAGCAGGTGACCAGGAGGACTTTAATCGCGCTGCGCTAAACACCCGAGGACATTCAGAGGTGCACATCGTTCATTAACACAGCCGCATTATCTTAGCAAAGCGTTCGCAGTTGTAACCGCCATGAATGGTCTGATTAGTTTGTAAATTTAGTTTTGTGTTTCGCGTATTTATCGTTCGTGTTTAACAGTTATTAATTAAATTAATTATTGTCACCTATTTTTTGTCTGATATCGCTCTTGTAAAATTACAGTAACGTCAAACATGCTTACTTGATATGAAATAATTTATCTACATAACAATATACATAAACAATATATTAGACTGCTATTCAGTCAATAATTGTATTTAGGTTAACACTGGATGTCTGTCGTCAGACTTGATCAATTTATAGAAAAGAAATCCACATGTTTCATTACAGAATGACACACATCCCATCTTTTTGTCATAAGCTCATTGTCTTCTCTGAATTATCTTTCATTTGTTTTGTGATATGAGCCATAAATGTGACTGCATACGATAAATAAATACATCTGATGTCTTCGTTTGCTAAAGTGTGATCACGGAGTGGTATTGTCCAGAAGAACTGCCTCCCAAAGAAATAGAAGTTCCGAAAATATCTAATTTTATAGATGACAGGAAGAACACCTCTATCTCAACAATTGGAATATATTCGCAATGGAACGACGTTGTCTGCAGTCAATTGATACCTGAATCTATTCAGTGAGTGATGAACATAAACACATTAGAGGGAAGTGTTATGATAATTTACTAATTACATTCAATGGGTACTTAAAATAACGAATATATTTATAAGAAAGAACGGTATACTGCGCAAACGTCTCAAACAAATGATATTAGAGATCTGTTCTGATGAACGAGAAATCTATTTTCACAATAAGACTAAAATACATCTATTGAAAGTAATATATTTAATTAATTAATATTACACTAGATATTATAATAAAATAGTATTTAAGCAGTACCATTAAAACTGACAAGCTCGTTGAGACATGCAATATTATTGACATTATTTGTTAGGTAGTGAACAACATAATTATCCGCCTCGTCAGTGCCTCTCTACCTACCTGACAGAAATGAGTTAACTCTCCTGACTTTCCAACAAGCAAGCGTACGACATCCGGCTGCCAGGGAGGGGGGGACTCCTACTCGTATTTAACGAGCATTTGACCCTGGCGAACCACGCACCTCCGGCGGTACCCACGTTCAAAACGGGCAAACACACAAACAAACACTTTCGGCTGCGGTGCACACAGTGTACGAAGAGGAGGAACTCTTCGAGCGTAGAAAAGCTGCCACAGTTCACTCTAGGCATGCGACATCGATGCCGATGTTTTCAAAACATCGATGTTTCAAACATTGATGTTTTGAAGCCGATGTTTTAAACATCGATATTTTGAAGTCTATGTTTTTTGAACATCGATGCTTCTACTGGACCTTTTTACGTTTTCGGTGTTTCATTCGTGGATGAAAAACTCACATAATGCCGGTTTTACAAAACTTAAATCAGTTTGTGTTCAAACCACACGAACGCGGTTTGAACTATCTTAACCGAGCAGATTATCCCTCACCCGAGATGATCGTAATTCCCTTTTCTGATACCACATTTTCTTCATTTTTCTCACCAGAAGCATCATACAACATTTCGCACTAGAAGAGTTATCTTTTAACTTAGTTTATTAATTTATAATAAACAATTCACAAAAAACTAAGTCCCGTTCAAATTAAATTTTTTGCGAACGAATTTAATATTAGAGTTTACAGAAACAGCTTTAAACAAGGATGTTTAAAAGTTTAAGTGGATTCTGGTCCATGCATTATTAACATCGATGTTTTAATTTCCAAGATCGATGTTTTGTTGTTGATGTCACATCAGAAGGGAGTTCTTGCATCTCGAAGCGTTAAAACTATCGACAGCACAATCGATTTTCTACGCACGCGCAGTGTAAGTTTCGCATCTGTTTCGTGCGTCTGCGCATGCGCGAAAGATCGAGATTGCTGCTCGCTAAGGCGTGCGACACCTCTCTCTACTTGTCCACACCGCCGACTAGCGGTCGGAGGTGCGTTATCGGACAAGTGCCTGGCGATGGTCGCGATGCCTCTCGCGTGTTATCGCCTATCTCCCTATTCTCCCCCTCCCGGGCAGCGGCGTCGGGTCCAGTTACCCGTGCCCCCCTCCCCCCACATCCCCGCCCGCGCGCGCCGTCCGCCACGACGCCCGAGCCGCCGCCGCCGCCACCGCACGGGGGGCGGGCTGGAGCGGCGCGAAGTGTGGCGTGCGGCGTGGGAGGGGAGGGCCACGGGAGGGGAGGGGCCGCGGCAGTGGGCGGGGCGCCGCCGCCGCAATATTTTCTGTTGTGGAGTGGCCGGACTGCCTAACGCGTGGCCTGCTGGCCGCGCGTGGCGCGACCGGCGCGCCGCTGGACGGGGCGAGCGGGGCGGCGGTGAGCGGCGGGATGGGCGGGGCGGCGGGGCTGACGGGCGGGGCAGGCGGACGGGAAGGGCTGTGAAGGGCGGCGGGAGGGCT